TTAAATTTGTAATTTTTTTAGAGGTTTCCCCCATTTACGGGGAACGAGGGAAATTTTTTCAATTTTGAAGGGTAATGTCTTCGACTAGATACAATTTGTGATCTTTTGACATATCGTTGAAAGAAATCCGTTCGGTGAGAGCTGAGAAAAAGTGGTAACAGACACAAAAAAAAACACATCATAGTAAAACCAATACCTTCTCAGCTTCGCATTGAAGCTAAAAAATCACATAATACAATAATTTTAATATGAATAATAGATTTCATCGAACGAGGGGGAACTATCATGATAGGGTCCATGATATTCATTGAAGTTATTTAATCTAAATGAGATAAAAATCTATTGAGAATTAATACCTTTTTTAAGGTATTTTAAAATAAAATAAATACAAAAACGAGAATTTTCACAGAAAAATAGCATTTGGTAGCCATTTTCACCACGAAGAAAAGTCCAGAGGTCANTGGTAGCCGTTTTCACCACGAAGACAAGTCCAGAGGTCAAATTTTTTTTTTTCAAATTAAAGTACATTACATTAGCTTTAATTTAAGATATACAGGGTGTAAATCTTTCGAACCATAGTAATGTATGGGCGAGTATCCTGGTAAAGTATAATACAGGACTTCGTTTTTTTTTTCCAAAATTGGAGGAATTTTGGAATAACCCCCCCGAATTTCTCTAAAATTAAAAATAAATCATACCACAATATTCCCCGTAAAATTGTCATACAAATTCAGTGGTCACTCGATTTTTTGTAACTTTTGCGCCCTCCCCTGAACTTTGGGTTCTAAGTTGGAAAAAAATTTCACATTAGTGTGACCCATTAATTTGTATTGTAATTTTACAGGGAGTCCTGTGATGTAGTTTAATTTTAGTATAAACGATTAAATAACAATAAAAATCGAAAAACCTACAAATAATGTAATATTTATGCATTTTTATTGCACAAAAAAAGAAGCTATATTTTAAAGGTTATCTAATATTATGTGCAACTTAATAAGTGACTATTCAATAGTGAACAGTATTTTTCGAACATTTAAATAAACATTAACAAGCTCACTGATGTACCATATTCTCATTATTGATTAATTTCGGAAAAGAGTTGTGTGCCGTTTACATTAAAATAATTATTTCTAATTATCCTATTGTAATAAAGTTAAAAATATTCATTTCAATATTATAATTGTTTTATTTCCCCGACCTTAAAAGAAAAAAATTTATAATTTTATAACAGTTTCAATGATAAAAATTATAATCGGTTTGAATAAATAATAAAAGACGAAATAAACTCATGAAATTAAAAAAACATCACATAATTTATGGGTTTTTCGGTCTTTCTTGTTATTTAATCGATTAAACTAAAAATAAACTACATCACAGGACTCCCAGTGAAATTTTAATACAAATTGATGGGTCACACTAATGTGAAATTTTTTTCCAACTTTGAACTCAAAGTTCAGGGGAGGACGCTAAAATTACAAAAAATCGACTGACCATTCAATTTGTATGAGAATTTTGCGGGAAATATTGTGGTATGATTTATTTTTAATTATAGAGAAATTCGTGGGGGTTATTCCAAAATTCCTCCAATTTTGGAAAATAAAAAAAAAAAAAAACGAGGTCCTATTTTACACTTAACCAGGATACTCGCCCATACATTACTATGGTTCGAAAGATTTACACCCTGTATATAAAAGTGTCAGACTTTCCGGAACATTTTCAAAAGTTAAGTTGAAAAAGTTAACATTTTGTGAAAAAGTTGTAATTTTAAATCCACCCTCTGTGGGCAGATAAAGGGTCAGATTTACAAAAAAAATATACCAAATGATAAGTAAAGACATCAAGCATCTATAAAAAAAAAAATTATATTGATATGTTCATTTTTGAAAAAGTTCGAGCATTATTAAGTTAAAAATATAGAACTCATTCATTCCGATTACAAAGGATGAATCCAGTATCGTCATTTTTCGTCACTATCTCCATGTTCCTTGAGTGGGTAATTTACGCGCCTGCTGTTTTCTTTGGAGTGGTAGCCGTTTCTCAGACTCCCTCCCCGGAATCGAACCCTGATTTCTCGTTACCCGTTACAACCATGATATTGATAGTAACTACTATCATAACATGAAACTAAAAAGAAAAAATAAATATAGTTAAAAAAAATTAAAAAAACACGCTTTTAAACTATATTTATTATTATCATATACATTTCAATATGAAAAAAACAACATTAAAAAAAAAATTTATTTTAATTAACATCTTGTTATAATAAAAAATATTCAGCAGACACAATATGTACATGAAGACGTAGCCAACCGATTTGTTTTGTATACACACCTGTTGTTTAGCGTAAAAATAATTTATAGTACTTAATATGTTAGTATCTATACTTAATGCTAATATTAATTGACATTCCACAACTATTATTAAGATAAAATTATATTTCATTGAAAATTTGCAATAAATTTTTGGTGTCAGAAATGAATTTTACTGTACAAAAAAAAAAAAATTGGACACAATACTCCTTCTTCTTCCTCGCCATAATCCCAACTACTTGGGGTCGGCCACCCTTATCCTAAACTTCTAATTGATACTATCTCTCACATCATCTACGCTCATAACAGCTGTCCTCATATTGCATTGAATAGCATCCTTCCATTTCTTTTTTGGTCTTCCTCTACCTCTTCTTCCTTCAACATTCATTTCTATAACTGTTCTTACAGCTTCCGATTCTTCTTTCCTCATAACATGACCAAACCATCTAAGTCTACTTTCTCTCATCTTATACACGATTGACGCTACACCTATACTCCCTCTTATATGCTCGTTCTTTATCCTATCTTCTCTAGTCACTCCATCTAAGCATACTCATCTCTGCTACACTCTACTTCTATGCTCTATTTTCTTATCAACCGCCCAACACTCTGAACCATACATCATAGCTGGCCTCACTACAGTCTTGTAGAATTTACCTTTCAGCCTCATTGGAATTCTTTTATCGCATAAGACGACAGACGCTTCTCTTTACTTCACATTTTACACAACACTATTATCTATATATTTATTGTGTAATTAAATAATTATTTTTTGTGTAAAATACAATTACACAAAAAAATGCAGAATACTAAATTAAGAGACCACAAAATAATCAACTATACTATCTAGTTGGAGTTACTAAATTAATACAATTAAATGTTTTATATGCAAAAGGTATAAATCAATTATTGGCATTTTTTTTATATTCGTTAAATGTTTTGGGAGACTCTAAGCAAATGTATTGGTGGCTTTGCCCATCTACCGGCCCTAATCATAATGTTTGGATGGGCCAACTACTCAGTTTATATTGACGTTATTCCTGTAGAATGATATTGGTAATAGAACACCAATGATGAAAATATATGTATAAATAAAAAAATAATAAAGATGTATTTTGGAAAGGGTATAAAAAAATGTAATTCCGTGACTGTGAATTCTTTTTATTCTTTCTAATTAGTCAGTTCTACTTTTTGTATTACACTTGTGTCAACTGTTAATTATATTTAAATTTATTACCCAACACGTTATATTACATAGTTATGTTATAATAAATTCTATAATTTTCATTATTTACATTTGGTTATTCGGATTTCTAATGTCATTTAAATAAATTCAGTGATTAACAATTAATAATAATCTTATCAAATGAACTAGATTTATATATTATTTGTCATAATAACTATTAACTACAACTTGTAATAAAATTATTCGATTTTTTAGTTAAAAATTTGGTTTGTTTTTCACTGATGATACCTTTTGTTATTTTTGAAAAGTCAATTTAAACAAGTTTAATCATTTAATTAAAACATTTTAAAACAATCTCCCTATATTTTTTTATTTAATATTTCTTTTGTAAATTAAAGGAATTTTGTTATAATTATTTATTTACTTACTGAATATTTTAACGGTAAAAATGCCCTTTTATAAATTATTTATTGGGATACTAGATAAAATCAAATAAAAGACAAACAATTTTAAAATAACTACTAAAAATACGTAAAACATTATTCGTTTTTAATATATATTTATATAATAAAAGTTATAAAATGTTATTTGTATGTTGTTATAAAATTATATTGATAAAAAGCACTATTGATAATTACTTTAGAACTAATAGTTTTTTTGTTATTATAATTGTGTATGCGAGTAATAATTAATAAATAAAGAATTAATAAAGTTCAACCGAATATATGAAAAATATAGTATTACTTTTTTTCAATTAACGAAGTATACTTATAATATCGATTTGTTTGTTTGGCAGGGGAAAACTCAGTATTAGATTTTAAAGTGGTAAATTAACATATTAGTTCTCAGAAATCGAATTTTTTAAGAATAGTATTTGAGCATTAGAGTATTATAAAACAAATTATTATTGAAAACAAACATTTTAAAAGCACAATATCTACTCAACACTATTTTTTATATGCCTTTGCATAACTTTTGTTCTAAATATCTAAAAATAATTATAATATTTTCAAAGTGACATACCACTGCACTGACAGTTGTGTGTTTTGAGTTATAAAAATGACGTTATTTGATCGTATAAGGCCAACTATTTTTTTTTGTCGCTTATTTGCTATGGGAGTAGAGTTCGATAATTCAACAAAAGATTTCTTGATTTATTGGATACTAATAATAATAAATTTAACGATTGGAGTCATTACCATTAACATGTATTTGTCTAATGTTTCTAATTATATGATGGGATACATGGATGTCATGTCACTTCTAAGCGTGACTCGAGTTTATTTTCGACACATATTACCACTTTTGATGATTGTCTCGGTGTGGTCGTCAAGAAAAGAGATAGCTGCTATACTGCGGTCATTCGACTACCTCATACCATCACTTGCAAATTCATCCTTAAGGAGTTACACTATTTATTTTTACAGTTTTATTGCCATTCACATTTTATTAACATTTTACAATATTTTACATGCCATAAAATTTAGTCCTCAGTATAACAAAACATAATATTTATTTTGCCATTATTTGAAGTGACTGCTCTTAATTTATGGCTTTCGGTGCCTGTAGCACAATATTTAGTTTTGATTTCTCTGATAAGTCGTGGAATTCAAGAGATAAACGAAAATATAACTTCAATCGAAATGTGGAAATCGAACCGCACCAATTGGAAACGGCTCAAAAAGGCTGCAGAACAATTAACAAACACTTTGTATGGTCCAACTATTGTGATATTTATATTAAACTCGATGTTGGAATTAATATTTATTATCTACATAGAAATTAAGTTACTAAACACTAAAGCTTCACAAACTAATATCGTGATTTATGGATTGGTGATACCTATTCGCTTCGCAATATTAGTTAAAATATTTCGAAAACCTCATTTTTGCAAGCTAGAGGTAAAATACTTGAATCAAAATATTGTTCTTCAATCCGTAAATTTATCACAATAAATGTGATCTTACGGTCGGAATATTGTAATGATATTATTTATAAACTAATCTAAACTTAATTACTACATTTAGTTTATAGTTATCTTACATTATAATAGAAAAAATAATTTAATCTTAAAAAGTTCGTTACTATTTGCGGGATAATTTTATTTTTCATGAATTTAAAATCAACGCTAAAAAAATGTTAATTTTTTCATCCTTTTAAAAAATTGAAGTAAACTTAAATAATGATATAAAAATTATACCTGATTAATTCCAAAGTACTCTTATGTTAATGAACAATTCTTCTTCATACTTTTTCAGGTAAAGAATACTCAAAGAACTATAAATGATTTACAAATAAATACAATATCAAATTTGAAACAAGTAAATTAAATTATATTAATTTTTACACGTGATATAATTATAAAAAAACATTTTTTCAGGTAAAATATACTTTTTTGTACATGTTACACACAGGATTTCAACTAACTCCCTGTTGGATATTTGAGTTATCATATAGGTACTTACTGACGGTAAATATAAAATATAATTGTGATTACTCTTATCATTTTTACACATAAGAACTGTAACAATAATTCATAGGTAGTGGCAGCTATAACAGCGTTTTTATCATTTCAAATTCAAATGAAGCTCCCCATATGAATTCTACAACAACGGATGTTACATATCTTCAAATCAAAAGTGAAATATTTTGTGGATACGAGTGCTAACTTTTAAAGTGTTGGTTTTAAATTTATTTTGCACAACATTGGGTTTCGTCTAAAAAAACCTAACTATCTGAACAGAAAAACTATAGTTATAAAACAATAAATTTATCGTAAAAAAATTAACAATTGCTTTAGTCATAGTTAAAACACATTTTTTTTATGATTTAAATAAATAAATGTGTTCAATTTTAATAAAAATAATTTTGGCATTATTTTAATAATATTGTGTAATACAAAATAAATAGGACTTTATTTTATTTTATTTAAATTAACCAAATTAATTTTTGTTTAAATCTTAAAAAAATATGTAAAATACAAATGAGGGACTGAGCAAAACCATTGTTTGGCTTAACTCACCAAAATGTTTAAACTAGAGATGATAACACAATCGTTTTTATTTAAAAATGTATGGATCAATATAATTTTTTTTATGAATACGTGAGGTAATTACCTATTATTTGGATATATATTTTTTTAATCTGATTATTCATTTACCCACAAGGGGGGATTCAAAATGATAACTTTTTCAACTTAAGTTTTGAAAGTGTTCTAGAAACTGACATTTTTATATATATCTTAAATTAAAGCTTATGTAATATGTTTTAATATGAAAAAGATAAATTTCAGACTTTGAAATTTCAGAGTTTGTTTTCATAGTGAATTCTAATATCAAAGTTATTAAAAAAATAAGATTTTTGTAAAAATTTTTTTTTTTAATTTTTAATTTTGTAATGCTATAACTTTTTTAAAAATATATGGATCAATACAATTTTTTTATGATGAATAATATGTATAAACCTCTTTCATTGGACATACTTTTTTTTAATAAAACCATTTCCCTCTATTTATTTATATATTATAAATATATTACACTTATAAATCATAAAACATGTAATCAGGAAATTGGAGATCATGTAGCTTTTGGAATAATTCACCAATTTTTTTAAATTAAACATTATTTACAGACTTGCATCTAAGCGTTTTTTGATAGTGATTTTAATCACTGTCAGATATCATTATACTTGACCCAACTATGCCACGTCACCACTGTGCCGGGTCTTTATAATAAAAAGGTAAAATCAGAGTTGTGCTAATCACGTTTGCAATGAATATGAGAACAAAAATAGTCGCAATTAAGTGGTGGAAATTAATCTAAAATTATCTAATTTTCGCAAGTCACTTTTCAAAAATTGTAAAAAAAGCCTTTGAAATAAAATCTGACAACTTCAAGGAGAAAAATTCTTGGAGTGACCAATGTTGAATTTATAATTTCTTTCTATAAAATACTAAGCATTCATGCAGACAGAAAAAAAATGTTGGCTATTAAAAAAAAAGATTTCAATTCAATTTACAATTGTTCATGATTTTTTTTCAAAAAAATCGCTGTTTAAATTACACATATTAATTTTTAATTTCTATTTAATATTTTTCACTTAAACTAATTTCTTTTTTATTTTGGTGGTTTAAATTTATACCCTTATAACATTCTTACTTTTGTTTAACACTCTCTTAATTGCCGCCATCGGTCGCGATGGGCCGGTCCCATCAAGAATAGAAATCGCGCTTTCGTCAACGCCATGAATCCATAAGACAACTGTTTCTTTCAGTGTTGCCAACCTTACTAAAGTAGCATGGTACAAAAATTCCACGCAGCGGTATCCGTTGATAAGAAAAGCCAGAGTTTAGTGCTCGTGTTCACAGCCATGTACCTCGTGCTTCGCTTCCGCATGCCAAGTTTGTTGTAATAATAAGGGTAATAACAACAAGAATGAAATGAACGTAATAGTATGTGTTTATAGTAAATATTACTGTACTTTGCGCTCTAAACTGTAGCTGTAGATATATGTCAGACACGTATCATAAGTTTCTGTAACGTTCGCATTTAAGTAAGATTTTAAATTACTAAATTATAAATGTATAATTGCGAATAAATGTTATTTTAATCATTAAAAAAATATTTAAAATAACATTACACATATTTATAATTGTATTTTTCTTTATTATAAGAAAATAACATTGTATGTAAATGATAATGGTCCACGTTGTTGGTGCAATTTCGTGATACCACGCGACAAAGGTGAGATTTAGTTCCACGCATTTCGATTTTTTTTCTTCTTGAATCGGCTATTATTTTTTTGTACTTTGGTTAAATTTTACAATCATATCCATTACAGTTTATTTTAATTATTTAATTTGAGTTATATTAATAAATCTAATCATCTAAACAAATATACATTTTTATATATTTTATTTACGCTTTTGTTATATTGGTAAGGAACTTAATTTAAGTTAACTATTCACTTGTTAAAGATCTTTAGGGTTAATATAAGAATAATGTATTTTGTAAATTTTAATATAATGATTAGTGTGTTTAGTCAACTATATTTTATATTTGAATTCATTGGATTTTAATAATACAGTTTAAGAGTTTGTGCCAAATTATTGTTACTTTTTTTAGGTCGAAAAAGCTCTTTTAAAAATTAGATAAAAGTAATCTTGTTAACAATTTATTTGAGGGAACTTATAATTGAAGATCCAAAGCCATGACATTAACCAAGTACACTAATACCTAAAAAGTTTTTTAACTGTGTATTAAGATATATTTTAATTTTTTATATTTAAATCAATATTTAAAAATATATTTCATATATTACATTTACTATAATTATGCTGATTCTCTTAGAATTTACAATAAAATTTGTTTTAATTTCTAGAACCTATGACAATGTCGCTACTTTCATGCAAAGAAACAAAGAGACAAATGAAACTAAATATTCTTCGGCATAGACAAAAACTGTTACAAGCCTTGGCTGAAATAAATGATACCATCATAGCACCGAATATCAAAATAGACCCTAAAGATATAAAAGAGTTTAATCTTAATATACCTATAATACCTACAAAAATTAAACAAGAAAAAGTGTATGTTAAACATGAACCAATTGAAAATTCATCATCCTTGAATAATAAAGATAACAAAATTGTGGTTTCAAAGGTAGCTAATAAAACTTTAGGTAGCACATTTACCAGGAGGTCAAAGCGTTTGGTAAATGCTGAAGTTGCTGGACAAAAAAGTAGTTCTAACAGTCGAGGACGTTCAGATTCTTTGACTGATGATTGTAAGTTGTGTCATTATAATGCAGTTTTTATTTATTGTTTTATATATTTAAATTTTTTATTAGATGAGTATGACTTGGATAGTATTGATATTGATGTTGAAACAGTGGATGAAGTTAAAAAATCAAAGACTCGTAATAAATCATCTGGCTCAATCAAATGTTTATCTCCACCAGAATCAATACCTGAATCAACTGGACCAAAAAGATTCAGATCTCCAACAAATAGGTCAACGCATAATGCAAAAGAACGCCAATGTCGTGAATTAATTTCTAAATTGTTTAGTAATCTTAGTAAACTTTGTAGTTACTTAGAATGCAGTCGTCGTGTTCCATCTAAACATAGTATTCTTTTAGCTGCTAAAAGAGAATGTGATCTATTAGTTCTTTATGAAAAAAAACTTATTGTTGAAAAAAGACGTTGTAAAGATATCAACAAAATTTTATCTGCAAAATTAGCATCGATTCAAAAAGATGTCTGAATTTGAAATTGAGTAATGAATTCATTTTTATGACAGTTTTATATTCCAAAAAAGACAATTGTTCAATTTTTAAGAGTTTTCCTAGTTTTATACATATTATTTGTAAAGCATGTATTGGCAATTAATTATTAATTATAAAAAATTTTATTATTCATGATATTTTTGTAATCTTTAGAACTAGAAAAAGACAAATTGTATATATTTGTAAATTATTTTATTAAAAATTATAGTTTACATTGTTGATTGTATAAGACTGATTTATATGTGCATTATTCTCATGGTATTGTATTAAACTATTAGATACATAATGAATTACTATTTGAAATAAAACACTGTATTTAATAAATTTAAAATTACATGTATGTGATTATATCAAATAAATCGATTTATGATTAGAGAATTTTCAAATATTTTATTAAAATAGTAGGTCATGAGTGTGTTGTATTTAAACAAAATAAAGAGGTTTTATAATAGGTTGATACAAATTAAATATACAAATAAAAATGAAAGTTAAGATTTAGAAATTCCTTTAATAAACTAAATAAATGTTTTTTAATATTTCTTTTTACTTATAAAAACCGAAATTCAATCAATTTTAGGTGGTTCTTAATTTATACAACTTAAATTAAGTGGCCTGTGAGTACCAAAAAAACAGTTGCTAAGTAAAAAGATGTCTCATTATTATACCTCTAATTGTTTATTATCATTTTTTAAATTACAAAGCATTGTAATTGTTAAAAGTTCTAAATTTATGAGTAGGTATAAATATAAATGAAATGTAGTTCTTAAAAATTATATTTTGTTGTATAGTGGATGTGCATATTATTGCTACTATACTATATATTCTCGATATTAATTAATAATTTTACGATCACAACTATTGTGATGTAAATAGTATAGAATTGAACTAATATCCATATAAAACTATTTTTATTATAAATAATTTTTGGTGTTTTATTTGTAAATGAGTGATAAATTTATTTTAGGCACTAGGTGTTAATTACTATTTGCACTTAAGGTCACGGTAGTTAGGTAGAAGACCCTTCAATATCTAAATTGCATTCTTTATTAATTTAGAAAAAATTATACTGTAATAGAATGGAAAGATATCGATGTGGTACTAGTAGAAGCGTATTAAAATATTTACCCACTATATAGGGATAAATAGTAAAATAATTTTGGGGGTGCTAAACGTAATTTCCTCCCAATTTAAAAATATTTTTTCATAAACATATATGTGATTTTTTTAAATTTTGGGAGAGGTAAATAATTAAACCATTCTTTACGTGTTTTATGGCTCCCATAGATCCCTGGAAAATTCTACTTCTACTAATGGTGACTACCACAAATATAATTAAATTAGGTTGGTACTTATTATAGATATAAAGATCTAGGTCACAAGAATGTAATTTTTTTCCTATTAGATGACCAAAAAAACTCTATTATACCTATATTAGTTTGAATATTTAATTTATAACTATTAGCATACAAATATATATGATGATATCGTTGTAAAAAAAAATATCTATATCTATAAAAATATTAAATTAGATTTTTGTAATTCGTCTTTTGAATTATATTTCGATAAGGAATAGTATCGAGTCTAGACTCGATTTTTTCTACACTTCATAATTAAAAACATATTTTATCTTTCCAATTTAGTATATACATAATGAATGTCAAATGACCTCTTTTGTTAAAGCATTCGAGTATTTGTATTTAAATATTTTTTTAGTGCTATTTGTATTTAAAATACTATATTTTTGAATACAATATTATTTTGTACTTCATAATTATTAATAAAAATAAGAATAATAAATTTTTGCACTAAAAATATTTTTAATTTGAACTCAATATATTTTTGTTGACAGACATATTTCTAGAAAAATTTTAGGCGGGACCAATTCACTATTTGTAATAACGGCAGTCATCAAAATTACAAATTTTGAAGAGGCAAGTGCCCTTTTCAATGCACATGCATTGGTAAAGAATTGGCAAAACTAATTTATGAAAATCTATTATATTAAAACTATTGGGCTTATTTTCATAGTATTTAAATAATTAAATTTATTTTTAGACGCTATATTAACAAATTATCTTTTGAAATGTAGATAATGTAAACAATTGTTTTAAAATCGAAGTTAACATCTCTACTTATAAAAATAATATTTTTAATAGTTTTAAAAAATATTTGTATTAAATACATATTTTTTCTTGAAGTATTGAAAACGCTTTCAAAATACATTTTAGAATTATTTTTAAAATGACTACAAATAAATCAATTGGACTCTGTTCATACAATAAAACTGCAAGTAATTTAATTTCTAATTCTAATAAATGGTATTTTATGATATTCACATTTAGTGCTCGCGTATTATAATGATATTGGTTTCAGATTAATTCGAGCTCAAAAAGCTTTGCCTAAAACTAACAGTCTAAAAATTCAAGTATTTTAACATAAAACAGTTTTGATTTATAATACCATCACTAGTTTTCTTGCCCACACAAAAAGTTGTAACGGTAGCTTATAGTGAAGAGGAACTTAATTCCCCCACATCTCATGACCGTTATAGAGCGTACTTCTAAGATATATTTAAAATGTATGTAATTGAATAAATACATAGAATTCTCATAATTGTGCAAAAGTAATAAGCCATTCTATGTTATTTTCGACACTAAATCTGACTTTAACAATACTAATAATTTAACGATTTTATTAATGAAATATTAATTAATTTCATCAAGATAAATATATAAGAAATTGTAGTCCATTATTAAATGGCTTTATATACATGACCATTTTAACTAAGAGCTCATTGATGATAACTAATACAAATACACAAAATCAGCATTTTAGAACAAAATATTTACTGTATTGTCTGGTATTATTAGTCTTTACTGAATTATATTTAAATTACATTTAAATGAAGTATTGAGTAACATAATAAGAATGTCTCATACATTTTTTCTTTTATAAATTACAATTGAATTTAATTATTAATTGTAATTGAGAAAAAAAAACATAACATGCAGCGATAAATCTTTGTCAAAATAACTAATTTAAACTGTCTAAGATTAAAAAAATAATCAAATGATTCCATAAAATGGTAAAGAAATAATATAGATAAATAGGCTTAATTTTCCACAAGTCTTATCTCCAGGATATTAATCTTAAGTTTTAATCACATTTTCTAATTTCTCAATTTATTAATGTGATAAAATATTTGTGCTTTTGTTTTGAGTGATTAAATTTAATATACATGCTGTTTGACAATTTAATATTAACACAAATTGTTCATAAATTACTTTAGATATTGTATAGTTTAACACAACAGCAGTGTAATAGCATTGGATATTAATAACATATTTAATACATAATATATGTAATTATTAATAAATTGTTACACAAATAATAATAAAAAAAAATCGCCTGCAAGAAGGCAAATTATGACAATCAACAATAACAAACACAGATGTCCATTTGATGTGGTATTTGCATATAAATTTATATTATACAATAAAGATCAGTTTTTTTTTTTTTTTTTGTAAAACAGATTTTTTTATATCATAAAAATAAATGAAAAATTAAGTTAAAAAATATATTATATATATATATGAACCATCATTTATTAACTTATAAGGTCTTACAAAGCTCATTTATTCTATAATTTTTAACACTTTTCCAATAGCAATAGTTTTACCTAAAAATAAATTTATTAAAATAGAACCAATCAAATTTATAATTTTAATATTTTACCTTCATCTCTAAGTGTAAATCGCCCCATTTGAGGAAATAGTTTAAATTCTTCAAGACAAACAACACCAGCACATTCAAGCCTCATTATTACTACTTGATCTTGTTTAACAAAACGTGGTCGCATATTTGATTTTAGACCAGTTTTCCTATCAACTAAACATATTAATGCCTGAAAAAGATAACATAACACATATTTAGTTTTTTAATGAACAAATAGTGATTTAAAAATTGAAAAAATTTAATATACCTTAACTTCAACTACTTCAGCAACACAATGGATATGCATAACTGCAGAATAACCTGCACATATTATACTTTTATGTTCTAATATGACTACCTAAAATTGATTATACATTGAAATTGATAAATCTCAATTTTATATTTAATTGTTTATCTTACTTGTCCATCAAAAATTCGACAAGTTTTCACAGGGTTAATTGTATCGCATAAAATAAACCCAGGGGAAACATCTTCTTCTTCTATACCTTTTAGCTTAACTTTAATATTTTCACCTGGCCCAACTGATAAAACTTCTTCATCATCTGACCACAACTGATCAACAATAACTTGAGTCTATTAAAAAATTGTATTATATACAAATAGTCTTACTACAAAAACCAAGGGTTTGCACCACAAAATATGTTTCATTATTATAATGACTAATTGATACTCTTAATTGTTTATTGATTTTTCAAAAAATATGTTTTATCGCCATACAGAAAAAAACAGTATTTAAAATAGGCCAATTTTTAAAATTTTATAATTTATGTTAAATTAACTAAAATTTAATTATTAGATTAAAGAGAATTTACGTATCATAAAATAAAATATAATAATATAGTACCCTGTTTGGCATTATTAAAAGATTCTGGGATTTTTTTGCTTCTCCAGACTCAACTTTTCCCATAAGAACGGTTCCCATGTCTTTATATTTTTCTACAACAGGCATAATAAACGGTCCATCTGATTTCCGATTTAATAATGGTAAGCTATCAATAAATGGAATAAATGCTGGTCCTCTGCAAAATAAATATTATACATGTAACTTTTATACTTAACTAAAAAATGTATTTTTACTATCAGTATTACATAAATATTTGATTTAAATAGTTGTGCATACCTGTACCATGGACATATTGATTCTTCAACTTGATCTTTAAGACCCAAACCAGTTTGTCCAGAAACTGGCATGAATGTTAAATCTTTGCCAACATTAAATCCAAGTTTTTTTAGATAAGGCAAAATTTTATCTCGACATTCTTCATATCTTACATTAGACCACAAAACAGTAGGATCATCCATTTTGTTAATTAAAACTACCATATGCTTTACACCAGCTGTTTTTGCTAACATAGCATGTTCTCTAGTTTGGCCACCTCGATCAAAACCTGTCTCAAATTCACCTTTACGTGCTGATATTACCTAAATAAAAAGTAATAAAAAATATTTGCATTAAAAGTGTAACATAAAAGTTTAAATAGTATTTTTATGTTTAAATATATATAGGGAGATTATACAACAATTTATAATTACAAATACAATAATTTAACAGATTATAATCAAGTGATTCATCATAAACCACTTGATTAATCAAAAATAAAAATAATATTAATAATATTTTTATTGGTTTATTTTAGTTCAATGTTTTTCTCGATATATCAATCATAAAAAAAAATGCATGATCATCCCTTCTATGATCAATAATAAATTTTGGACCAGAATTTCGAAAAAACACTTTTGAACAATTTTAAGTAAAGGCTGGAAGTGAGGAGTAGGTGCTGCTATTTTTATCACTAGTTATTTCTTGATTGTATTCTTACTCATGCCTAGTAATGAAAATGAGAATAACTTCCAAAGTACTGGTCCAAAAGTTGTGATCAACCAATCACTTTCTTAATTAGATCATTTTCTTTTTAATAAGTAAGTTTAATATGTATGTTTACATTAAAAAAAATTAGGTTCACAACCCTATAAGATAAAGATTAAACCTGAAAATTATTTATAACAGATAAATGGAAGTACATATGAAACTAACAAAAACTCCAAAACATTTTTCAAAAAAGTTAATAATTTTAGAGAAATTAAATGGCTAGTGTTAAAAGAATCACTCTGTATATATAATATATATTAAATTTATTACAATTATATGTACATATAATTAATTTTTAGTAATGTAGCACTTGATGAGAGATAGTGAAACTATATTACTAGAGCACATTTTTTAAAAATGTTAAGCTTTAGATAATAAAAGTATTAAACTAGAGAATTTATTATAAGTATTTACTAATAATAAAACATGACAATAATTTAATATAAATATACTTACCAAAACGGCTAAATCTGCTTGGGCCGTACCTCCTATCATGTTTGGTACAAAACTTTTATGTCCAGGGGCATCCAAAATAGTGAAATGTTTCTTTTCAGTTTCAAAATATGCCCTTCCAACTTCAACAGTTTTACCTTTTTCTCTTTCTAAAAAAGAAATTACAATTAAAAATATCATAAAACTTTAAAACAAAGTTAAGTATTATACAAAATTGATTAGATATACAGGAATATAAGATCCTAAGGTCTCACATTTGATGCTTTTAATTTAAAGATAATACTTAATATTTATAACAGAAATTCAATTTGGCAGAAAACAACATAATATAAAAAAAATTGATTACTTGTGGCTAATTAATTAAGTAAAATTAATAATACTTTAAATATAGTTTTAATTTTACTTAACAACATAATATGTTGTCTTTTTCCATATTAATTTGCAACATATTGTGTAGCAAATATATCACATTGATAAATTACCTTCTTGATTGGTATCTAATGCCCATGAGAGATACCATGATTCTCGACTTCTTTCTTTAGCTTCTTTTTCATATTTATCTAAAGTTCTTTTATCGACCATACCAGTCAAAGCCATAATTTGTCCACCAATTGTTGATTTACCAGCATCTAAAATATATATAATTTTAAATTTTTTTATTTAATTTAAGCATTATTTAGTAATTTTTTCAAATCTCATTTCGCATAAAAGGAAATTTGAATAATTATAATATTCAATTTAAAAATATAAATAAAATTTTTCAATATTCAAAAAAATTAATTCTATTTTTCATTATAATATAAAAATAAATAGAAATTAAAAATAAAGCATATATATTTTTAAGACATCTAGCTTATCTTACCGACATGCCCTATGATAACTATGTTGATATGTTCTTTTTTAGGTTTAGGCTGTAAATTTTGAACTGGCTTTTTTGGAGTTGACTTGGGCTTTTCATCCTCACCTTCACTATCTACATCTTCAGCAATTGGTTTTGCAGTTCCATCTTCAGGTGTGCTCGAAGCACCGTCTTCCCAAGAATCAAGTACTGGAGCGCCCAAAGCTTCATCCACACCAGTATTTGATTCTACAGATTCATCTGTGTTAACTACGTCTACAGAAAACTAGTTGTACAATCGACACGTCATAACCTTAAAACTATTATAAAAATTACTCACTTGATTTTTTGTCATCGTTCTTTTGGTTGTCCACGTTAGATTGTTCATTATCTGTAACTTTACTAGAAATGGATGAGAACGACGGCACGAACTCAGCAGCGTTTACGTTGAGTTTGATGAGTTTCGCTTGCAAATCGGCAGCATTGGTATCGGCCACTTCGGCTTCCTCCCATGAGTCCGGTGCCGCGTTATTCGACATTATTTAAACGCGTTGACCAAACAAATATGATCTTGGAAGTAAAAAAAAAAAAAACTAAAATTTATAAACTCACAGCATCGAAAGAGAACACCGACGTGTTCAAAAAACGTGTTTCAATGTGCAAAAAAAAGAACGATAATATATCATATAATGTATATATATATAATACTGTTACTCTATCACACGGACCGAATACTCAAAATCACAAAATACACGTTCTTACTCTAATGTTGATTTGCCAAAGTAAAATGTTGCCATACCTGGCAGCCAACTATATAACTTGCAGTGTGACCAATAAAACATATGATAACAGTTATCATTAGTTTTCATCAATCATCTTTATTATCCATAGATATATCACTACCATATATATATATATATATATGTATTTTTTAGTGGATGTTATCTATGATTTTTATATAAATTTTTAGTGATAGTGTATGCTAATTTTACAAAGATCCATATTCTTAATTCCTTATATATAATTTTTTTTAATTTTCTTAAAATAATTTTAAAATGCCAGAAAGGGTTAAGTAGAGACTATTGATTGCGGTGTATTCATTGGAAAATAATAGTTTTAGATCTTCCTCAACTGGTCGTGCAAAATTAACATTTTAAATAACAATCAACAAAAAAAAAAAACCATACAAATTTTTATTATAAATCTCTAGATACAATATACTTGATCATTACACTATACAGAACAGTAAGTGAGTCACCTAAGTCAATTTTTAGACAAAAATTGACTTACAAAAACTTTTTATCTAACCTATGATTAGATCCTGAACTGTCCTAAGCTGATTCATTAGCTTAGATAACACTGGTCAATAAACATTTTGGCGCTGGCAATGATTTTGATAATTCTGAATGTATTTTTGTCACTGATTCTAAATCTGCATTTAATTTTTAGTATATAAATTAAGATTTTAGCATAAATTTAGATCAATCTATTAAATTCATACACATTATTTCAGCTTTATTTTTGAAATGTTATTTAAAATTTAAACTTAAAAGACTACATTAAATAAGTTAAACTTGATATATACATCTAAATTTTTGCAAGGTTCTTTTTTAAAATATTAATAATTAAATTTATACTCAAAAAAAAATCAACTTTTTTTTTAATGTGTTGAAACATTCATGGATTGTCATATTATTTGAAAAGCTTGAGAATTTATCCATGTTTGCAGTTGATTGCTGACGTTTCGGACTCATTGCAGAGTCCATCTTCGGAGCGATAGTTGCTGCTCGGTGGCTTGAGTATAGTTTCAGCCTTCTCGGTAGCTGAAACTATACTATAATTATCATCTAAGGTCTTGATTTAGAACATAATGATTACCAAGTTACAAAAGGTGAAACAAAATTTTGATTCAGGCAATCTTATTGCTGCTTTTGAAAATATTTTTATTGCTAATTTCTAATTAGATTTTTCAAACAACTATCGCTCCAAAGATGGACTCTGCAATGAGTCCGAAACGTCAGCAATCAACTGCAAACATGGATAAATCCTTAAGCTTTTCAAATAACTATTTTTTGTTATAATATTAACACTCATTTTCTGACTTTCTAGTATTTAGTAATTATCTCGTAAACTAGAGTTGTTTGAAAAATCTAAGGACAGCAAATCAGAAATTAGCAATAAAAATATTTTCAAAGGCAGCAATAAGATTGCTTGAATCAAAATTTTGTTTCACCTTTTTTAACTTGGTAATCATTATGTTCTAAATCAAGACCTTAGATGGTAATATAGATATCTATCATAAATATAATTTTATATTTATCAGAAATTGTGTTCTTACTTGAATTCATTTGAGTGTTATTTTTTTATAATTCCTATTAAACAGGTTTGTTACTATTAGATTATTGCTCTATATATTACATGTGTATTAATTACATTATTACAATTTTAGACACTTTTCTAAAAATTTAGTCAGTTTCAGACCTGTACTATATTAAATTTACATAGTTGTTTTACTTAATAAAAATAATGAAATAGTAGTCAGTTTCAAAATAATAAACATATTTTATTTAAAACATAATTAAATTTTAACATAAAGAACAAATCTATTAACAATTAAAAAAAAACCAATAAAAAACTACATTCAGTCACAGCTTAAGTGTAAAAAATTAACTATTTATACAAGACCTACATAGATTTCACTTTAATCCTAAAAAAAGATACTTAATGCATTTAAAATCACAAAAATAAACCTAAAGTGCAGTCTTTAAAAAATAAATATTGTATAATAATAGATTAATTAAAAATTTCTTAAATATTTAAATTTAATAAACAATATTTTTTATACAATTTGATACTTTTACTAAAAGCATTTTAGTTACATAATTTTTTTTTATAATTGAGGGTAATAATTTATAAAAAGATATAAGATACAATGTAATGAAGTTAGAACAATTTTTATTATTTTTGACTATTTAGTATGAATTACAAAAAATGATTTCTAATATCTATATATATATATATACAAAGAATGTAATAAAATAACAGTATAATCAAATTGATAACATTCAGAAAAACTATGAATAATAAAGGTATAATATATTAATTAATCAAATTCATTATACATACTTTGTTCTTTTAAGGAGCATTTAAAGTTTTTATACAAAAATTATTTATAAGCTACACAAATTTATTACATTATTATATGGTTACATTAAGATGATTATCTAATAAGTAAAGTATGTCCTAAACAATTTGTTAAAATTAAATAACTAATATTACAATTACTGTTATTAATACATACAATACATTAAAATTGTACAATAAAAAATAATTTTTTTTTTTATTGTGGATTTAGAAAATAAGTTTTAATAAAAAAAAAAAAATACTACTTTGCATAGTCAATATTTATGACAATAACTAAAGTTGATAAATAACATGATACTTAGCTAATAATAGTTCAACAAATTTGAATTTTAAATGGTTGATAGAACAATGAGATTTTGTATCAAACAAAAACAATAAATAAACTGTCAATTTAAATATTTGATTGTGAAAAAGAAATGAGCTTAAGAAGTAAAACTTTTCAGGTTCATTATTAACTTCACTTGTTAGACGTTGGTAGCTGAGATTGAATGTCTTTTGGGAATAAATAAAATGTCATTATTTAATGTACTACACCTAAAACATATAATTTTTAAAGTAAATAAGTTCACTAAATAAAATTTAAAACTATAATAATTATAAAATATAATTTATTATTTTTAAATAATATAAAATTTAGAAATTATGTTGTAAATATTAATGTGTAAAACTAATTACGGGCAACATTTTTCCATGACCATGATGAGAGTCAAGTAAAAAACAGGTATTAATTAACCAAAAACTATTGGGTCTATAACTTAATTTGTGCGGTTTGTTAAGGGATGGCGTAACTTGATTATTATTCTATCGTTCCAATATTCCAAACATATGTTGAAAAGCTACTGTCATAGTGCGTCTTTATCAGTTATATGTCATTCATTTGAAGCGTAAACAACAACAATTTTTTTTCACTCAAATATGTTGAAATTTGTGCCTGAAAAAGTGTTTTTGCAGAGAATTCTTCTTCATTACTTTAATATGAAGAAAACTGCTGCCGAAATTCATCGTATTTTGGTGGAAGTTTATGGTGAACATGCTCTATCTGATCGAACATGTCAAAAGTGGTTTGCACAATTTAAAAGTGGTGATTTTGGTTTAGAAGATGAAGAATGTCCTGGGCAGCCAAAAAAATTTGAAGATAAAGAACTGGAAGCATTACTCGATGAAAATTGTTGTCAAACACAAGAAGAGTTCGCAGAATCTTTGGGAGTCACTCAAGCAGCCATTTCAAAACGTTTAAAAGCAACAGGATACATTCAAAAGCAAGGAAATTGGGTGCCATATTAATTGAAACCAAGAGACGTTGAAAGACGATTTTGCATGTCAGAAATGCTGCTTGAACGTTACAAAAGGAAGGCGTTTATATATCGGATTGTGACTGGTGATGAAAAATGGATCTATTACGACAACCCTAAGTGCAAAAAGTCATATGTGAAACCTGGCCAACCAGCCAAATCAACAGCAAATTCGAATATCCATGGCGCTAAGGTAATGCTTTGTATTTGGTGAGATCAGAAGGGTATGCTGTATTATGAGCTGTGTTATGAAATCGGGCCAAACAATTACAGGGAACTTCTACCAAACATAATTGGTTTGCTTGAAGAAAGCAATCGTCGAAAAACGCCCAGAATATGCAACTAGATACGAGGAAATAATTTTTCATCATGACAACGCTCGGCCTCATGTTGTAAGACGGGTTAAAAACTATTTAGAAAACAGCGGCTAGGATGTTTTGCCTCAAACGGCTTTGATGCAGAATGTCTTTTCTGGAAAACCCTACATTAAAGTTGAAGATATCGAAAATTGACTTGAATCATTCTTGGCCGCCAAGCCGGCGCAGTTCTTTTGGGATGGAATCCACAAATTTCCAGGAAGATAGGAAAAAGTTATAACTTCAGATGAGCAATACTTTGAATAACATTGTTGTACATATTTTTCTGAAATGAACATTCAAATTTTGAAAAAAAAAAAACCGCACAAATCAAGTTATAGACCCAATACATTAAAAAATCCTAGTGATAATTTCTCCTTACTACTTTAATTATCTGATTATTTTTGATACTCAAAATAAAAAATAAAAGCAGTAATTACTTTTTACAATCTGGAGTAGCAATATCGTTTATTTTATTTTTGTGATTACTTAAAATTTGGTTTCTTCTACGTCTTGAAATCATTTTAACAAGTGGATAAACGCATAATAAAAATCCTGAAATTGCTATGAAGAATCCTCCTAAGTAAAAGGACAAGTCATACGTCTGTGTTATGTCATAGATGCCACCTGAAATATTTTTTAATTAAAAAGTAAAATAATCATTGGATTTAATTTTTAGTAAAAAATTTTTAATATATAAAATTAAAATAACTCAATATTTTGTCAAGAATTTGAACATATTTTACTTACCAGCAAGAGGTGGTCCAATTAAATTAGCGATTCCTTGAACTAATAGCAATACACCATAAGCATTGGTAAACCGTTCTAATGTGATTATTTCAACTAATATAATTGAAGTAAATGAGTAATTAGCAGATATGAATAAGCCAAACAATGCAGATAATATTGAAAGGCTGGCATAACTTTTAAACAGTGGAACTAAAGCAATTACAATTCCGCATAACACCATTGAACCAGCATATACAGTATTAGCATTAACCCACGCTTTGTCTCCAGCCCAACCTAATAATACCTAAAAATAAGTGGTTATACTTAGTAAATAAAGCAAACAACTAATCATATTAATATTTTTTAAAATAATGTGGAATACATTTTTTATAAATTAATACCTCTCCAAACATATTTAAAAATCCAATCATACTAATTAAATATGATGCATCTTCTTGAGTATACCCTCTAAGTGTAGCCAGGTCAGCCAAATAAACATAAGGCACATCATACCATGTATATAAAAGAAAGTTAGAAAGTGCAAATAATAAAAAATGCATGTTTTTGAAATGAGAAAAATCCATCATGTCTAAAAGTAAGTACCAAAGCTCCCATAGACCAGCTGACCACTAAAGTTATTCCAATTATTAATAAAATGCATAAATATAAATATCAATTTATGTAAATTTTACTTCTTGTTTTTCTTTAGCAATTGTAGTCATAGAATTTCTATAAATATTTGGGCAAGATGAAGCTCTTAAACGATATCTGTTAATATTGAGCATTGCTCCTCTATATGTTAATGAATGTCTAAAATACAAATTAAATTATTGTAAAATATACATATTTTTATAAAATTATTTTGTACCTATGAATTTTAATATCTTGTAGATACGCAGTTTGAAGCCGTTTAACTTGTTGATTATCTTTTTTTATCCACCAAATATAATCATCATTATTTTTAAGGACATCATACTCATTGTTAATAGGAACTGATTCTATTTTTTCATCTACATTGTTAACAAATGGATTTTTATTTGATTGTTCTTCAAGTTTTGTATGCAAGTCTAACAGTTTTTGTAAATGTAAACTTTGTGTTGGTGATAAATTTCCCTAAAAGTATAAAGTTATTATACTTTATTAAGTATTATTCTGTATTATGTTAGTTGTTCAATATGCTAAAAGCGAAAAATATAAATAGAATAATTTACCAAATCATTTAAACGTCCACTATCACTGAAACTTCTTGATGGTAATAGCAAACTAGGATAATTTTGTATTAACACAGAGTACAAATGTTTTTTTTGGGTAAGAGCTTCAAGTACTTCTAAAGGAACATTCTCATGATTTCTTATAAATGTAGGTAAATTTACAAGGGAATTACACAGTCGTAAATCTTTGGTAATGTTTGGTAACCCACGTTCATTTTCTTGAAAATAAAAATACAATAATGACATAAAACTTTTGATTTAAAAATAAATCTAAATACCTAAATCTATTGGTATCGTATTTTCTACTTCTTCATTGCTTCCTGACATAGGCGATGTTTGCAATTGAGTGTGTTGGGAATGTCGGTCATAGCTGGTTGTAGACTTTAATCTGCGTTTGATAAGCCTAGCATGTTTTTTCTTTTTTCTCTCATTTTGTAGTTTTTCTTTGGTCCATGGAAGATCTCTCATAAGCATACCAAATATACACAAATTTAAAAAAAGACCAGCTAAGATTAATGTACAACCTCTCCATCCAAAATAACTTAAAAGCATATGATTAACTGGAGCAAATATAACTGTACCAATACCACTTCCACATACTGATAGTCCAGTTGCAAATGATCGTTTTTTATCAAAATAGTAAGCAACTATCACAACAGCAGCGACATAACATAATGATAAACCAAATCCAGATATAAACCCAAAGGTAATAAACAAAACAATTAAAGAATCTGCAAATGCAGACAGAACAAATCCAGTAGATGCTATTATTGAGCCAATAATTGTAACTTTTTGACAGCCATATCTATCAGTCAAAAAACTAGCTATTGGTCCTGAAAGAAGTGGAACAGCCATAAAAAGAGAACCTATCCATGCAGTTTTACTTTTTCCTTCATCAAAGTATTTTTCAAATTCTATGAATATAACACCAAATGAAAAAGTTACACCATCAGCTATTAAATTGACCATGAATGATGCAAACACTACAACCCATCCCCATCCACCATCGGGTGCTCTATTAAGTGTTTCTGTTGATGATGAAGATGAGGATTCATCTGAATCTGTAGTAGTGTATGAAGTGTATGAATCATTGAAGTGTTTGGAACAAATATGATTAGATTCATTATTATAAAAGGTAACATGATTCTTATTATCTATAGTTATGTTATTTCTAGTATCATTGTTCGGAGAAAGTAAATTGCATTGTGTTTTATTTTCTTTAACATTATTAATATTATTAACGAGATCACTAATTTTGATAGCCTTATTAATATTTAATAAATTTGCTTCTGGATCGGCTGTATTGACATTGTCCGCCATTCCGTTAACTTAATTTGTTTACTTTTTCGCTTCCTAACTCCAATTCTCCTCATGCGGCTACCTAATATATTCTTAGTGGCCAAATACCTATCACCGTCTGTTCGGTGATTTAGGTTGAAATTATTCAACTGTTTAAATACAAATTTGGTTTCCATGCGGTTTAATTTTTAAAAAATGTCAAAGTTTTCGAAAAATTGTCTTTTGTAGACACCTAAAAGTAGAATAATAAGAACAATTAATCAATAATAAAAAAACAATAATATATTAAAATTGTAATTTAATCAAATCTATCATAATTTAACAAATTGTAAACTAAATGTGAAAATTCATAATATTTAAATCAAAACATTTTTACAGTTTAAATCAACAATGATTATTACATTGTGACTTTAATAATAATGAGAATCAGAAATTTTAAATATTTTAATTCTATATATTTTTTATAAACAAAGCTGTATATAAAAGAAAAAGTTATAAATTTAAAAATGTAGTCTAGAAAGTGTCGAGGAAACATAAAAAGTACATTATCAAAAAAATTATAAATATAATAATTTTAAGTTATTAATAGTTACGTAGCTCATTAAAAAAAAACGATAGACACAAGAAATAACTGTTTTTAACTTTGTTTTGTTTTACAAATTTTGGAGCAAAAGATAAGGTTTATTGAATATTGCTAACAATAATTATTTAGAAATAATATTTATTATTTCGTTTATAATAATAAAGTCACTTGTATTATATAAAACAACTATTTGAAAAACTTACAAGTGAGAAAATATAGGAAATAAAAATATAAAATAAAAATATAGGAGTTAATTATTTAAAGTGGAAACACCTTGAATTTATGTAGTCATTTTTTAATTTAAATGAGCTTATGTTTAGTTGATTTAAATTTACTAGAATTTTTTAAACAATCTAAAGATAAATTAAGTCGAAATATAAAGTTGCAATTTAATTTAAAATAAAAAATTTTTTGCTTTATTATAAGCTTAAAAATTAAAATAAGTAACTAAATTATCAAGATGATAAAATCCTCGTATATAAAGAAAACTAGCACCAAAATATGAAATTTTTTTTTTTTCTTCCTAAAATATTATATTACTTTGACAATCTGTTTTAAATTATTCTTGTTTTAAAAATGTATTTGGAAATTAAAATGTGTTGATGGTAATCGATTATTTTTAAAGTGTAACAAATATAGATGTTTTTTATTCGAATTAGTGAATAGTTCTAATCATGATCACTAAACGTACAAAAATTGAGAAAAATTTAATAGAAGTATTACCATCCTCAAATAATATAATGTTAAATTATAGTTATGATAACTAATATTTGCACTATCCACAAAAACGAATTGTATTCAATAAAATAAAATGTCCGAATATTATTATGATTTATTGAAACATTAAACAAACTTTAGTCGATACAAATAAAACGAATCTAAATTTGACATTGGTTTTGAAACAATAAATCATGTAATAAAAAAATGTTTTAATATGCTTACGGTCAAAATAAATTAATGAACACTTAAAAGCAATTTTAATGAATCCTTGAACTAATAGTCAAAAATAAAGAAATCAATCATTCACAACTTCTATCTTTGATTTAAGACAACATACAACTAGCCAAGTAAAACTGATCAATAATAATGATGATGATTCACAAATGACACTCAACGGATAATTTTAATTACTTTTAGAAAATGTTGTATACTTATTTATAAAAAGAAGAGAAATAACAAAAGTTTACAGATTTAAAGTTTGCGTCAAAATGTTGAAAAACTTGGCGAGACTTATAAATGATTATTCGTCAAATATTATGTGCTGCTTGGTCTTTGTAATTTTGCCAATCTTGATGTACTAACTTGGACATTCGCTCTACAACATACTATCTAGTATAATTATATGCCAATTTTACACATAAATATTTTATTCGAAGACAGGCATAGTATTCGTAATGTAACAAAATATATTTAGACAGTCCAAAAAATAATTTAGCGATCAACAGGTACATCAGGAAACCGTATGCCATTAATGATAAATTGGACCAAAAAAGTATAAAAGAAGTTAGAAACTATTACGAAATTAAAAGTAGAATTCTAGAAAGCAAGTCCTTGATTTTTTGGTATTTAATTAGCGACATATGATTAGATAAATCATATTACTAGAATAAAATATTTCGCAACAAATCGATTACATCGTTTTAAATGTCAACATAATGTAACATAAAGAATAAAATTTAATATTTGAAAGATTGTTATCAGTTATCTTTTATTATGTAATAATAAAGTGGACATTCTAAAATTGTAAAATACATGAATCTTTATATTACATTTTATTACAATTATTTAAAATCGTAAACCTTTACAATTATCACTAAACTCAACCTTTGGTTTACAAATTACAATTTTTTATAATTAATAAGAAATTGAACATTATTAATGGAATACACTATTAACTGATTGTTTAATCGATACTGAGCGGTTGAATTAGATAACTACTATTATTAAACTAACAATTGTAAAACTGAATATTTGATTTCATAGAAAAATACCAGTAGTAATTATTATCAAAGAATTCTAAATAGATTTTAAATACTGCCCCTAAGCTTACTCTTTGAGAAATGGTATTACATTGAAATTTTAAGGCTCTAAAAAGTAAATTTAATTATACATAACGGTATATATTTTTGCATAACCATATTAAGTAAAAAAAAACCCAGCACAGGGGGGTCGCGACACAGTGATGACGTGGCAGTTGGATCAAGTATAATGATATCTGACAGTGTTTAATTTTAAAAAATTGGTGGATTATTCCAAAAGCTACATGATTTACTAGTTCCTTATTAATATCCTGATTAAGATAAAGTATGTCGAATGAAAAAGGGATTATTAAAAAATATTATTTCTCATAAAAAAATTGTGTTGATCCATACACTTTTCAAAAAGTTATAACATTATAAAGTTAAAAATTAAAAAAATAAAATCGAGAATTTTTTCACAAAAATAGCATTTGGTAGCCATTTTTACTGTGAAGACAAAATAAAGTCCGAAATTTATTTTTCCAGAATAAAGTACATTACATTAGCTTTAATTTAATATATACATAAAAATGTCAGAATTTCCGGAAAACATTCAAAAGTTAAGTTGAAAAAGTTAATTTTTTGTGAAAAAGTTGTCATTTTAAATCCCTCCCTGTGGGCAGGTAAAGGGTTAAAATTATAAAAAAAATATACCAAATGATAGGTATGGGCATCAAGCATTTATATAAAAAAATTATATTGATTTGTTCATTTTTGAAAAAGTTATGGCAGTTTTAATTTAAAAAAATTTCAAAAATTAGCGATTTTTAAATTTGTAATTTTTTTGGAGGTTTCCTCCATTTACGGGGAACAAAGGAAATTTTTTCAATTTATAAGGATAATGTCTTCGACTAGATACGATTTGTGATCTCTTGACGTATCGTTGAAAGAAATTGGTTTGGTAAGAGCTAAGAAAAAGTGGTAACAGACAAAAATAATAATAATAATAAAAAAAAACACATCAAAACCAATACTTTCTCAGCATTGCATCGAAGCTAAAAAACAACTTGGCTGATTTATTTAATAGAACTTAACTCTTTTAGAAACAATAACCATTTAAAAACTCAATGTTCTATGAAAAAGTTTATTCAGATTATAAATCGACACAAATAATTGTTAAGATGTATAGACTATCACTTATGTTACAAAAAGTTAACTATTTTGCATCAGTGCTATCTTAAACCATTATAATTTGATAATAAATGTATTAAAGATTACATTGTGTACCATCATTCCATATTTATTATTAGTTTATTACACTTTGTGTAATATGAAATTTTATTTACATTTACGCGGAAAATGGAATATTTTATTATTTAATGAAAAAAAAAAGTAACTTTTAAGATAAAAACTAGTAATAAAGCGCCTTCTTTGTCTTATTATTGCAATTTTAATATTGGTGTTGGTAGTGTGAGAATAATACTTATTATTTCATTAGTTATTTTCCAACAATAAAATATTTACGTATTGAATAGAAAAACTACACTCGAGATTATTAGGAGGAGAACAATTGCAACTATAAGAAATAAACACAGCTAAAATGACTAAAAATCAAATTAAGATGTCTGAACTTGTCTAATATAATGTTAGTTTAGTCGCATTATAAAATAATTTTTTTAGACAAATGTATTCTTTCTAATATAGTTATAAATTAAATTAAATCGTATGATAGAGGACTGCATATAATTTGATAATCAAAGAGAACTCAGTTTGATATACTGGGGAGGGGGGCATTTATATCCATGAGATTAGCGGCCACTCAAAATATTAGGTGACTAGTAGTTTTTAATTAATTTCTTATCAATATATTTTCTTAGTTATCTAAACTAAAGTTTTTTTTTTATTGATTTCTTGTTACGTTATCATACCTAAAATTAATAGACAATAACAATGCTGGGAAGGAAATCGTTCCGAAAAAAAAAAAAAAGAGTTCTTTTTGTTGGAATGAATATAAAAATTGATTCCTTTAAAAGTTAAGGAACAGGGAACATGAACGAATTCATTATTATAAAAAACATAAACAAAATTTAGTTTCATTAATTTTAGAGTTTCTACAATTTTTTCTTTTGTGTTTCAAAGTGTTATAAATAAAAACCCAGCACAGGGGGGTCGCGGCACAGTGGTGACGTGGCATAGTTGGATCAAGTAAATGATATCTGACAGTGATTAAAATCACTATCAAAAAAAAACGCTTCGATGCAAATCTTTAGATAATGTTTAATTTTAAAAAAATTGGTGTTTTATTCCAAAAGCTACTTGATCTGCTGGTTCCTTATTAATATCCTGATTAAGATAATGTATGTCGAATGAAAAAGGGTTTATTAAAAAATATTATTTTTCATAAAAAAATTGTGTGGATCCATAAACTTTTCAATAAGTTACAGCATTATAAAGTTAAATATAATATAAATAATAAAATCGAGAATTTTTACACGAAAAAAGCATTCGGTAGCCATTTTCACCATGAAGACAAGTCCAGAGGTCAAAATTTTTTTTTTCAAATTAAAGTATATTACATTAGCTTTAATTTAAGATATATATAAAAGTGTCAGACATTCCGGAACATTTTCAAAAGTTATGTTGAAAAAGTAAATTTGTTGTGAAAAAGTTGTCATTTTAAATCCCCCCCTG